TGGGTTAGAATTCCACTATGGATAATTTGTCAAGGTGACTTATTGATAATAGACAGTTTCAGCATGTGTTACCAGCATTGAGAAGTGCCTGGAAACCATATCAGAGGGTGACCTGCACTTTGTGAATGAAATTGGATAGACAAAAAAATTGGACAAACATGAATAAACATGCCTGCATTCATGTACAAGAGAAACAAAATTTCATTAAATACTTAACCTAAGGATTTTAGTTTCTAGATCAAATGTATCAAAGAAGGCAAGAGAGTTTACTTTAAAAAACAAAAAAAAAAAAAAATTCAAATCAGAATCTAAGAGACGAAATCCAAAAATAATGCTATCAATAACAACTGTATTAGCAAGATCTTTTTTTTCCAGGTAATATAATCGAAAGAACGAAAATAGAAAAAAAAAAAGATCTTGTTCAGGCATTTTATTTATTTATATATAAATTAATTGATTTAAAATATGTTTTTTTTTTCGCTACACAGTTCTAACCATGTTTCAAAAGTGGAAGCTAAAAGCTACGAATTTAATTTAGTAATTAAATTAAAGACATTAATTCCATTTCATCCTCAAGCGAATTTTGGAGTAACTTTTAAAATTACTGGGTTTTAAAGACACAGCTAAAATCATAATTCACATTTCCAAGTTTACAAAGAAATCCACTTCCACAAGACAAGGGGTGTCTGCATGTTCATTATGTCTGTATTTTGATGTATCAGTTATTAGTTACGTTTTGGTAGGGGGGGTAGGAATGTATTTTTCAATGAAATCTAACATCCGTTAAATATATATATATATATATATATATATATATATATCAGATCAGTGGGACAGTTTTCTACCTTATGTCCAGAAAAGAAAATGAATGCAAGCAAAACTTAATAAAAAGCAGTGCTTTGCCATTCATCTTTAATGTAACATATATATATATATATATATATATATATATATATATAAAAAATGACAAAAGGAAAATTTATCTTAGCTGTGTTTCATCCTCTGATGGACTTCACGATAAATGTAAGAATTTTATTTTGCAACAAATATTTATAAACAAATGTAAAAATGTATTTTTTTTCATTTTTAAATTTAAGAAATGCTCATAGATATTCATCTAGTTAACTGAAAAGTTTGGGTAAATTATGGAGGATGTTAAGTGACATAATTTAATATCTAATAAACAAAGTAAGAAAATTGTGTTTTTTTATGTTTTTTTTATAGACATGTAATTAATATTTATATTATTTTAGTTTGGAATTAATTCATGAATCATATTTTAAATAAAAGTGAGGTATGAATGTTATCCATTATCGTTGAATTTTTTAACATTTTTATATTCATGTATGTTGGCTTGGGAAAGAGGTAATTCTTTCAGGAATGGACATATTCAGAAAAATACAAGGTGCAGTTTTCCTTTTGACATTATTCATATTGTCCTTTTAGAGATATATTTTTAGTTATATCTGAAATTTATACACACAATTTTCTACAAACATACATAAATACTCACATATGTATGTATGTATATGTGTGTAGAAAATTGTTTAAATGACTATGCATTTCACCTTCATTAGATTAGGTTTTTCAGGTCAGAATGAAAAAAAGATTTGTGTTTTAATATTAAATCGTTAATATTTGTTTGTTTGGCTGGCATCTTTCTGGCTAGAATAAAAGAAAAAAGTTATAGGATTTTTGTTCTAAAGCAGTTATTTTAATTTATGATGCAGGCAATACTAATGTGTATGTCTGGGTCACTCTCTTCCTGGAAGATAAAAACTTGCTATTTGGAGTTCTCTTTTTGCACAAAATTATAAACTTGTGGAAAGATTTAAATATGCATAAATGACCAAACCATCAGCAGCAGCAAGAACAAAAATTCCTTAAAATCATTGTGTATATGTTTTCTGAAATAGTTAAGATATTAATTATTCATAATAAGAGCTAATGTAATAATATAATAGAGTTAATGTTAATAAAGTTAAGTTGAAGAATTCATTGCCCTCTTCCATGAATATTTTATTCTGAATATTGATGATAAATAATATAAAGTTTCCCCATTCTGTCAGGCCATGTTAACATTTGTGGGTTATCACACTTGGGTGCAGGACAAGTCAACATTGCTATGACAACTCAGGGCCAGAAAAAAACATAACTTTTTTTATAACCAAATAAAAATAAATTACGAAGGATTAAAACCTTAATTATTGAATATTTTTATTCAAATAAGGAATCATGTGAAATATGAACCAGTTTTTTTGTTTTTAATTATTTTTAATAAAATAAATTGTGGAGAAATTTATTTTTTGATAAAGTAAATTGACATCTGAAAAATAATTCAATAAAACACTTGTTTTAAATTATTTTTTCATAAAGTAAATCGAAAAATGTGAAACAAAATGAAACAGTTTTGTTTTTAATCACTGCTAATAAAGTAAATCATAATGTAATTTATTTTTTTAAACTAAATTGAAATTCTTATTTTTTTATGTCAATTTACTTTATTAAAAAATAAATTTCTTTAAGATTTACTTTATTAAAAATAATTAAAAACAAAAAACTGATAGATATTTTACATGATGCCTTTTCAAATGCCTTATTTGAAGAAAAAGATTCACTAATTAAAGTTTTAATCCTTAATAAATTACTTTTATTCAGTTATAAAATAAGTTACATTTTTCTGGTGCTGAATTGTTTCGGCAATGTCGAGTTGTCTCTTCCCAGTTCCACTTGGTTTTGCCAAAATGTCTGTCAGGGGCACTCTTTACATCTATAAAAAGGCAAGCATATTCTCTTTTTAACTCTTGCTTCCAGATGTAGTTGTCAAATAATGCTGCTGACAGGGTGTCTTCGCTTCCTTGGCCCTCTGTTGACTTTTGAACTCTCTCACACACACACGTGTCTATTACACACAAGCATGTGTCTATCACACACATTCTCATAGCTCGTTTCAGGTCTTTTCCTTTCATTTCAGTTCTGTACACATATGTAATTCCTTCTGTTAATAACATGCACTGTTGTTTGTTTTAAACTAATTGTTTTGTGTTTCTTATTTTTATGCGGGCTCACAAGAGTCCATCAATATTGTCTGCAGGATGAATATTCCAGGAGCCCATAAATATTTATATAATGTCTATACACATCACAACCAAAGAGGGGGAAACCCACAACATAATGGTGACTTATTTCTACCCAACCATCATACTAGTATTCCACAATGTCTTATGGCTAATGTGAGGGAATTCAGCTGCTGACCATATATTATGCTTACTTGAAGTATTATTTTTAGTGGATACCCATATTTGAGTAGATGCTCCATATTTTAAACAGTATTTAAAAAGTATTCTTGGGTGTACAGGCTGGTAGATCAGGTAAATACTGTTTAAAATAAAAATGGAGTATCTACTCAAATACATGTTTCTACTAAAAATAACGTTTGAAATAATAATAAAAAAAAAAATTGTCAGATTAAAAAAAATAATATCCATTAATTCTTTAAAGATTTCTATGTTTAATATATAAAAGCTGAATAAAGTAGGTGTCCTTTTATATGTTTGTGCATTTATTTTGAGAGTTAACAGGTAGAACACGCTCAACAAGGTTAATGTGTTTGCTTGTGTCGGCATCTCTCTTGGTAGGTCTTTATATCGAAGTTTGCAGGCATGAGCTTATATCTCATAACTTAATGTCCATCAACTGATTCAGTCGACATATTAAGCTTTAGTCTATCGACCATAGTTACTGGGCAGATTTTTTTAAACTGCTTAAATATAACACTGTTTGGCATGTCAGCTGCTCTGCAGCAGACAAGAGAGCTCACTAAAGGATTATAGATATTGGCCAGAAATATTGGCTGCTTGCTGTTCTCATTGGAAGAGATTTCTAATTCTTGTTGTAGTAGCAGAGTAGAAAATGTAAGGAAAGACAGCATGCATCCCAGGTGTCACTTGTTTGAACTGTTATACTTAGTGCAACATCTTAGTTCTCTAACCAAGCACTTGAATGACAGCTTTTATCCATGGGCTCTGCTTAAATTACTTGCTGATAATTTTCAATGTATGTGTGCATACGTATAATTAATATATATATATATATATATATATATATACACACACACACTTGTTCAATTTCATTGAAGAGTGAGAAGGCTAATAAATTAAAAAAAATAAGAATTTTTATATTTTCCACCATCTTGAATTACAAGAAATCAAGTCTCAATACTTAATTTTTCTTTCAAAAAGAACTATTTTTGATTTTAGAAACATCACTCACTGCACATAAGGTAACATTTTTATTGCAACCTTTGAGATGAATACTGCATTTACTCATGTAAACCAAAAACTTATGCATAATATGACTCCTTACCACTCGCTATATTCCAAAAAATGAGTATATTAAGAGTTTAGTTACATGGGTGATGTCATATACCCACCAATTTGTGGGAATACACACATTGGTTTGTTAATTTGTTGCATGTTGAGGACTTGACTGATAAACATATAGACAGTTACCTATTGTAGAGAGAGTTTTAATGGTTTAGGATGTGAGTGAGTGAGAAACAGACAGTTAACCTTGTCGTGAGAAAAGGACAGAAATTACTGCAGGCAAGTAAAGAAAGAACAGAAAAAGAGCAGTAATAAATATTGATTTTAATTTTATATACAATTTTTTTTATATTAATTTTAATATTATGTACAATCTTCCCTTCAAATCTGTAACAAAAATGGTCAGAGGCATGCATAAATTTATCACAGGATTCCTTGTGGTGTGAACACAATTGTTTAGTAACAGACAATCTATTGCCCTTTGTACTGAACAAACTACAATTGCATCACTAGTAAATGAAGCTAGGTGTTGAAGTTTGCTCAAAATAAAGAAAACCTTAAAGTAAGAGAATGTTCATATGAGCAACTCTGTCATTTACTGTTCTTCACTGTTGATTTCTTTTGATACACAGGCAGTTCTGAAGTGGTGATATTCAAAACGTCCAGTGTCAGAGTTTAGCTGATTAACTCTGGAGAGAGAGAGAGAGAGAGAGGAAAAGAAAAGAAAAAAACTGTTTCTAGCCTGAAGAAAAATGACCATTTCCAAGACATGAATCAATATTTCATTCTAGTCAAAAATGAAATCAGTTGCATATGCAGGTTATGAGAAGAGCCAGATTGGAATTTTGCATGAGGTTAGATCAACAAGTCTGTCACCCAACTGAATTTTCAATGTTGATTGATATGTGGTTGATATTCAACATTGTATTAAGTGAATTTGATAAAGAAGGAAATTATGTTGAAAAATGAATATTTGCAGTGTAAAATAAGCATTTTTTTTTTCATCATTAGAGATGTATTGATGTCCCTATGTATATAGTGGGTTAACTCATTTGATACAAGTAAACAAAAATGGGCTTCCTCTTCCTAAAGAGTATTAATGAAAAAGTGATGCAAGAAATACCAATTTGGAATCTGAATTGTTTAAGATTTTGTTTTTTAATTTGTTAACAATTACACCTCTTACGCTTGATATCGTAAGCACAAATAGCTAGTCAGTTGAACATTTTTGCTTCATTCCACCCTTAACATGGAAAAAAACTATCAGTTTAATGAAATTTTGATTAAGTTACTTTTTAGTACATCTTTATGGGAAATCAAAATAAAAACAAGGTATAATGTTTTTGTTATGTTATCATGAAGCATCAATTAATGCCTTAACTGAGCATTGCTTTTCTTACACCAAAGGATATATATTATAAATTAATTGATTTAAAATATGTTTTTTTTTTTCGTTACACAGTTCTAACCATGTTTCAAAAATGGAAGCTAAAAGCTTCGAATTTAATTTTCTAATTAAGGACATTAGTTTTATTTCATCCTCAAGCGAATTTTGGAGTCCAAAATTCACTTGAGGATGAAATGGAACTAATGTCTTTAATTTAATTACGAAATTAAATTCGTAGCTTTTAGCTTCCATTTTTGAAACATGGTTAGAACTGTGTAGCGAAAAAAACCATATTTTAAATCAATTAATTTATAATATTAATGCTCTGTAAATTTACATTGAGCACTATTTTGTAAAAATAAAAATATCTATAAGAACACCGGATTATATATCTTACTGTTCTTTCTTTTTATTTATATATACATATATTTGAACACTTACACATACATTTATTTCTATTTATCCATTTGAGTATGTGTGTATGTTTTAATTATTGCTTGTCCTCATTTTGTCTTTCAAACAGTGCTGTAACCATATCTGTTTTCATTTCTGCTATTTAGTCACTGGCCAATTTCCATTGTTTTGTTTCTTGGCCTACACTTGTCAGTGAAAGAGGGGGAGGGATACAAGAAAGACTGGAAACAAAAGCCATGTTAGAAATTAATATCTAAAAAAAGCAAAAAAAAAGAACGAGGGGGTGATAAAAGATATCCATGTCAAATGTATCTTTTAATTTTAATATTTTTTAAAGTGATCACAGAAGCCACTTTCAAGTACTTGCAAAACCAGTGAATACAAGTCTAGGAAATAAAACTGTCAGTATTCCCATATTTCCCAGAGAAATTTACTTCTGACAAAATGTATTAGTAATTGAATTCATCACTGGAGGCAGTTAAAGAGACTTGTTAGTTTCAAAATACATTTTCAAGACCTATCATTAATTCACTTTATTTTTGTAATATTTATATATTTCTTATTATAAATCATATTTTTAATGGGTACACATGTTTGAGTTGCTATCTTTTCTTTTTTTATTAAAAAAAAAAAAAAAAAAAAAAAAAAAAAAAAAAACAGCAAAATTACTAACCAGCCTAGATTGAGAAGTCATAATATACAAACATTGTATGAATCTGAAGCTGGTAGATATAGATTTGTAAAAGTCCCAAAAAATGTGGATTCCTTTAATACGTAAATCAAAACATTTCTATCAATGCAGGCCTCCATAGCCAAATTGATAAAGGCAGTATAGAAACAGTTTCCCCTGGTGAAAAAGGGTGATTCAGATTATATTCCTGTTGGAGGTACGAACTTCAATCTAGGCTGGGTGTTATTAATTTGACTTACCTAATTAAGAAAAGCACATTTCTCATTGAGACATCTACAAATCTATATCTGCTAGCTTTAGTTTCATACAATTATTCTTTAGTAGGACTTCAATTTAAGCCAGTTGTTATTAATTTCACTATTTAATAAAATAAAAGACAGGAATAGCAAAACAAACATGTGTACCCACTAAAATAGAGTTTATAAGATAATAATGTTGAACTCCCTATAAAAATATATACGCAAAAAAAAAAAAAAAAAAAAAAAAATGTGCACACTTCAGGAAAAGAAAAGAAAAAAAAAAAAACTTGTCTTTAGTCATCATATCAAATTGCGATAACACTGTTTACTGTAGCAAGATATTTTCTTGACAGATGGTATTACCCTCATGGCTGATTGCAAGTGATTGCATGTGCAGCAATCCCACTGGGCACTTTGGCCAATGTTGTCCAAGCAGTAGTTCATGCCATCTAATAAATATTTGAGTCCAAACGTAACTTGTATTAATCTTGTGATGTCTGAATAAATTTAGTATTACAATATCTATAAAAGTTTTTCCTTTTCTGAAGTGTGTATACATTTTTTTGGCAGACTGTGTGTGTAGGTGATTATATACACACACACAACATTTCTGCAAAACATACCAATGTTATGAAAACAATGCTGCCATTCAAAGATGCTTCACAAACAAAAGAGTTTTAGTAAAAGTTGTTACTTTTGTTACATAATGAGATGAACAATGATGGAAAGTAAGACTGAACCAAAATTAAAGATCATTTTTGTCACACTTCAGGTGGTTTGTTTCTGTTGAGGTGAAACTGATGCAGATAATCTTTCTGTATCTGGAAAAGGCTGGCATGAGAACGTTTCGAGACAATTTGTGACCAAGCATCAGTATCATCCACGTCGTAAGTCTAAAGAGAATAAAAGAAAATATAAATATATATATATATATATATATATATATATATATATATATATATATATATATATATATATATATATATATATAACAGAATGAATAATTTATATATTTATCAGTTATGCAATTTGATCTCTTCTGCTTAGAGATATTCCATTGTTATTGTGACTACTAAACACCAATAAGCAAACATGCTTTGTTTTAATAATGGAATATCTCAGTAAGTAGTTGCTTATAGAGTGCTTTTTGCTTTGTCATTTTATAAGGGAGATTTTTATTTTTAATTAATTATAAAAATCAGAAATATTTCTTACACCAATAAAGTTAATAAAATCTTCAATTACCAGAAATTGAAGTCTTAATTTAAAAAGAGCTCTGCCATTTTATATGTCATGGAGCACTTTTTCTTTTTGGTGTACATTTACAGCCGACTCATTTTAAGAGCTGCTTATTTCTGTTAATATTAGGAAGCTCTATCATGGGTGACTTTAGGGACCTGGTTCTGCTGGGGAGTTGTTTTTGCTTGAAAGTATTAGGCTCCCTTACCATTAACCCATTGTTCTGTGTGGCATTGAGTACATTTTTACTATTTCTGCCCCCCCACCCCCCGGTGATATAATTGTCTGTTTAAGGCTTTTTTTTTTTTTATCTTGGCCAGATGGGTGTTTCACACACTCCAGGTGATTTTGGTTGATGTGTACATGATATACATGTACCAGGCATATTTTTTTTCCATCTCAAACTTGCCAGAGGAAATAAAATTTCCAATTTTTGCACTACAGCTGCTGACTGCCTGATAACATGAAAGCATGAAACTAATAGTAGTGGTCAGTCACTGTGCACCAGAAATTTAATTTATAATTTATTTATCTCTACCTATAAAAGGCAGGATGTGTGTGTGTAACGAATGCATGGCCACAATTTGATGGATTTGCACCAAAATTTACATGCACAAAGTTAGCGGGAAGGCCAAGATCAACTTTGTATTTCCCAACTCACATCGATAGTGGAAATAATCGATTTTTTTTTATGCTTCTACGGCAGTTTTCATGTAGTTTGCGACCATTTTCTACTGGCCAGAATGAGAGCCTATAGCTGGCTGCCACAAATAGGCAGGCAGATTCTATTCACCAGCGTGAGAGCCAACAGCTGACTGACACAAATGTTAAATAGCATGCATAAAAAAAAAAAAAAAAAAAAAAATTGGTGGCTGCATTTGTCACATGTGGGAAAAAATTTAAATCTACATGGCACTTTACTCCAATTGGCTCATTCACTTGCTTAAACTCAACGTTGATTCCAATTCTGATTCCGCAGAACTGGGTTGGGTGTAAAAAAGTATTTGTTGTTAACATTCTTTTTTCATTCGGTTTTTCCAGTTACGAGTCCTTTTTTAAAGCTGATCGTTTTGTGTTCATTTTGTTTTGTTCTTTTTTCGTAACAGATTTAATGCTTAGTATAGAGCTTAGAAAAAATTTGCAGTGTGAGATAGGCAAGAAGTAAGGGATGTAGCAAGTCAAGTGATAGCGATTGCTGTACGAGTCGTACGATTTTTGAATCAAGCACGGTTAACGGCGGGCCATACTGCTAGTATAACATATGCTTGTTATAAGATCACTACAAAAGTTGCAATTTTGTTTCAACACTTCTGGTGTCTTATCAAGTGATGATGTTGAATGTAAAATAAACATTTGTAAGAGTTCAAAAGCCAACGAAACACCCTCAGTAGAGGAAACTGTTACGTAACCTATGATGACCAATCAAAATACAAATATATGATAATTTAAAATAACATGAGGCGTGGGCTCCCCCAATTGGAAGGTTCAGGGGTATTATGTGACAGCTCTGGGATCATCAACCTACCTTCATCAAGTAACAGGCAACTAGAGTGGCACTTCTGGTCCGTCCTGCTTTACAGTGGACATAGACACTGTGACCTTGTTTTCTATGGTTTTCAATGAAGGACAAAGCCTCATCTAGCTGGGTAGGTGAAGGGGTACCCATGAAATCAAGAACAGCAAATCGTAAATAGTCAACACCAAGCTGTCTCCATTCCTGCAAAAAACAAAAACAACTGTAAACAATATCTACTATTCTGAATAGGATATTTTGAAACGTTGACAAGAGCTAGACCAGATGTCTACATAATGTAGTGGTTATCAGCACAGAGAGTGGAATCAAAATGCCAAGTTTATTCCATTCTCTGGAGAAAGCTATGGTTAAATAGTAGGGGCAGACTGGGCTCTTTAGCCTTGGTTGGCAACCAGTCTGGGAGAAGGAAAACTGAATTCAAAAAGGTTGGTCAACTTCATGTGGTAAAACGAAAAAAAAAAGCTGAATGGTAATAAGGAATGGGAAGGGGAGTTAACATATTTGTCACAAGCCATTGACAGTAATTAATTGCATCTTTTTTTGTTGCTTCACAAAACTTGATAGTCAAAGAAACTTGAAAATTTATTTTATCAAAATTACAGTTGCAATAAAGCTTTTAGGTTTGATTGTTACTTGATATGCATTGTGTCAGCCCTAGCCTAATTGTGTCAACATGGGGTTGTGATTAAATCAATCTTTCAGGCCATTACTACTGTAGTGAGTTCAGTCATCACCAAGTCCCCAATACTTATGGCCTTGTGCCAGACAAAGTAGTATTAAGCACAATCTTTTTTCAGACAAATTTAAAGTGTTAAAATACAGAGTGCTTATAGGTAAATATTTGTTTATCAAGCAAATCAAGTCAAGTTTTGTTGTTAAATATTTGAGAAATCAAGGTTAATCAGGCTATGGATATTCAGCTTTAATATTTTACTACACAGTTTTCAAAGTTTAGCAGTTTAACCTCATTTTTTGATCCTCCAATTAAGGATTTGGATCCCCCCCCTCACTTTATAACCAGGGTTTCCTCAAAGCTTCAAGATTGTGTGCAAAAGAAAATTCATATTATGATGTAAAAATTTAAATACCACAAGTTCAACTATTTTTCTTTTTAACATTGAACCGACAAGGAGACTAAAAGTATAAATAATGAACTTATTTAATAATTATTTAAAATTTTAAATATAAACATATTAAACAGTCTTATTTTGACCAAGTATACTTGTATAGAGGCAAGCTAACAGTTAACAGCATGGTAGGTAACTTATTAAAAGCATTAGGTAGTCAAGAATTTTCTTAACAAATTAAGAATTTTTTTGTGAATTGTCAGAGTTTTATCACAGATTTTATAAAAAAAAAATTTGTAAATTAGTAATTCCACTAAATTTTTTTTTAACTGTTGGCAAAAAACAAAACAAGAAAATACTTAGGTAATCATTTGAAAGAAAAAGACAAATGCTTACTTCTTCAGTTGGTGTAAAATGTTCCACTTCAAATTTGTGGTTTGTGGAGACAACTGCTTGCACATTCTCCTTTTCTACAAGCTGGGAGGATGAAAAAAAGATTTCTAATTGAAAACAATAACTGATACTAAATATCTTTGGTTTCTTTTAAAAGCAGTTCATGTTACAAAATGAGGTAACAATATTACTAATTCTGTCATTAATTACACATTTTAATTAGTATTTAAAGATGGTAAAAGAAGGTTTATTGTTCCACTGGGATTCAATATGTGTAGGAATCATGATGACACGTCTCTTCTAGCATAATATTTGCACTGGTGTTAAATACTTTTGCATATGGGTTATTTTATTTATTGTTAATAAATGTTTCTCAAAACAGTGGTTTTAAATTTTCCTTCTATGTTTTGATCGACAATGTTCATTTAAATATTTCCTATAAGTTTCGTTGAAATTAATCTGTTATTTTTTGAGATATGTAAGAAAAATCAATGTGTTAAATACTTTTGCTACCCACTATATATATATATATATATATATATATATATAAATAAAAAAAAAAAAAAGAAGACACCTACACTGTTTATATTTTTTAATTTATAGTAAACATTAACACCAAGTTTCAAATCTGTACATGCAATAACCTGGGAGATATAAAAGGTCAGAAGTTCATTGAATGCCTTATTTAGCAAAATGCAATGAAATTTCAAAATGCTCTGATTTTAAAATTATTAAAAATCAATTAAAATTTGTGATTTTTCAGTAAATTTGATCAATGCACCTTTGTGGATTTTCCATAGATTTTTCTGAGAGGTTTACCTGAGGCTTTTTCCGAGGTTAATTTTGAGATGGAATGACCCCATGTCAAATTATTTGTTTATGATCACTGAAAGTTTATAAAGAAAAGAAAAGAAACAGGAAGTAATTTTCTTTACATATGTACATAAGACAAATTACTTACTTCTTTAGCAATTTGCCGCAGGGGTAAAGCACCAAACAAGACGGTGTCATCAATGCGATGGTACCATGGCCGTTTTGAGACAAGATGCACAACATAGTTATATAACAAAGTAGGATAGAATGCAGCCCGAGCAAATACATAGGTGGCCGTTTTTGACATGCCTATCCACGAAGAAAACTATTCCGTTTGATTTACCAGCAATGACAGGAACTGTAAATAAAATTAAATTTTTTTTTTTTTTTGTGACAGTTCAATGTTTAGAGAGCAATAAAGTAATTATGGAAATCAAACATTTAACTGGAGAGCCCTGCAAAAACCTAACAAATTGAATAACAGAAGCAAATTAATTTCCAAATAGTTTTGGATTTTTTTCCTCTTAAAAAAAAAAAAAAAAAAAAAAAAAAAAAAATGGTGGTGGGTTTGCACTATACATAAGTAATTTTTTCTGTACAAAAGAGTTGAAAGTCATGCATTTTTGATGACCATAACCTACCTGGTAGGCCTACATTCTTACAATCTTTGGCTAACCTTAACTGTACAAGTAAGCTCCTTTTAGCTTGCCTCTTGTAGCCTAAATTCGTTCTTTGTTGCTACATGAACAGAACATCATTCACTTGATGTTACACTTAAAATCTACAAATACCTTATATAAATGAAGAATTGACAAGGTTTTATTTTTCCTTTTTTGAGATGGGAAAAAAATCTATTAATTCTTCATTTATATAAAAGGTATTTGTTGATTTTAAGTGCATACATAGTAGATAAAGTTTTGCTCATGAATCAACAAAAAGGGAAGAAACTTAGGCTAAGTAGAAGGCAGGTCCATAGTAAAGGGGCTACTATAGTCAGGCATGAATGAAAAAAAGTACATGTAAATCTTCATATCAGATATTTTATGTTAGATTTTCTTGTCATTTTTTGGGTAGCTTTGTACAAAAAAAAAGAAAAAAAAAAAAAGACCATTTATTTTCTATAAAATATGTCCCAGATCATGCCCACTACTGCAATATTTGACTACGGTAGGTTAGTAGTATTGCTAATAATATTGCTCAGAAACTGTGGTCATATTATATAGGGACTATATAAAAAAAATATTTTTAAAAATCAGGTTTTTCAAACAAACAATGCAGGGGCTGTACTATACATGAAATAGGCCTATACATGATTATATACAATACAAAAATCATTTTAATCAAGTAACAGCAAAAGAAAAGAAAATAATGAAAACACACACATGGTTGTTTTTGTTAGTCCTTTAGCTGAATTGTCCTTGCACTAAATTGTTGCAGAAGGTTAGCAACCCTTTTTCTGTCTAGTAAAACAGAGGCTAGAGCAGATACCTTTCACCATTGTCCATCACTAATAAAATTACTGGTATAGGGAAGAAACATTCATATAATCAAAAATAGAAAATTAATGGAAAATTAAACAGACTATCGCCTCTAAGTGTTGACTTCTATGTTCACTTTTATATTTACACACGCTCTATCTCTGATATTGAGCACTTTATCCCATAAATATAGCACATCTTAAGACATATATATATATATATATATATATATATATATATATTTGTTGATATTTTAACTACAAAAATGTATTTTTATAACTTCTGTAGTGTTTTGTTTGGGGTTCACTATTTGGCCATAGCAGGGACCCTATCAGGTGCTACCACCCCAGGTTGGGGTGGACCTGGGAACAATAGCAACTGAGGTGAGCAAAAAAAAAAAGGTAGTTTCACGCTCTTCAAAACATCCAATCTCCTGATCAGTGGTCTTGCTGTTGGATGTAGTTTATCATATCTAGGACTGTGACTAGAGAAAGCAAGTTTTCAGTTATGACATCAGGGAATTATTGTTTGCACAGTCCATTTTCTACTGGTCGAAATGTGGCTTGGCATTCATCATCCTGTCACAACAGATGAAATGCATTACACACAGTTGCAATTTCTATGGCTTATCAAGCCTTTGCAGGTTATTTAAAGCCAGAAAATATTTTTAAATTGTAAGAATGTTTTTGTGATAACTGTTTTAGTTATAAAAGTCTTACTAATTAACACATAGATAGGGGAGAAGGAGGGTTCATGCCTTTCCCAAGGGTATTTGTGCATAATGGAATATAATGAACCCAATGGGAATTTGAACTCTGCTATCTGATTAACGATTCCAAGTTATCCGTTACACCACCCACAAATCCAAGCTTACAGCACCTAGTATTCCTAAGTGGTCACCCAGCTAGGTACTGACCAAATTTGATGTTGCTTAACTTTGGTGATCCTACAGGAACTGGTGTTTCAACATGAGGTTGTAAGCCTTTATAAATCTTAATTGGACTCCCTACAGAATTTCAAGTAATGAGAAGAGGGAACAAAAGTAGCCAGGATCCCTGCTTTTGCTGCAGGTGTCAGGGCGTTTTAATGAGGTGGAGAGTTAAAGCATCCTAAGAAAAACAAATCTACTAAAATAATTAGCTGCTCCAATATCACCATTTGAAATTACAAACCATAAAATTAAAAATAAATAAAATAGAATAAATTATGGAGAGAATTTTAAATTTTTGTATTAAATTTTTATTTTTACTTTTTAAGATGTTAGCCTTGAATAAATATTTAATTGTCTAAGTTGTTTTTTTTTTAGTACACATTTAGAGAGAAATGTACTTTATTTTTTTTTTTTTTTAGGGTCAGTTTAAGTAAAAAATTTTTCAACTTGTATCTTTTTCTGCTCAACAGTTAAAACTTGCAAAAATTGTGAAGGAGTTGTTTCTAGTTTGTGGAAAATTATTTTTTGTATATACTGACCAATGAGAGACGTGATCTCAAGAATGGGAGCCTTGTAAGTCTATTTTTCCAAATAAGTAAAAACACAGGTCAGTAGATGTGAGAAAACTTTGACAGCAAGGGGACAAGGCAAATCAACATCAAGGCACAGAAGCCAACTGTAAAGAGCTGAGAAGTTCACAAGTGAAGATTCTCCTGCCATTGGACAACAAAGAATGAAAAGAATTAAGAAATATTCCTAAGCACAAACCGTGTGAATTTAAAAGGGAATTTTTAAAAAATTACTGTATGTCCCAGAGACACTTGTGGGGGTAAGTAAAAGTAGAGGTTTCCATTTTTTTCTGAAAAGTGGTTGCACCTTCCTGAAGGTTTTTTTTTTTTTTGTCATTGAATCTTGGATTTTTTTTTTTCAGACTAATTTGTTTCCATTTTTCAATGGTAATCCTTTTTATCAGAAATTGTTATCCTGCCTTAATAGGTACACAATAGAAGATTTTTGTACCTTTTTTGTACTTGTGTAATAAATGTTTTACCTTTAAAATTTTATGCAGTGGTTAAGTCTTATTTTGATGATATCATACCTATTATAACTTGCTATTCACACTAAATAGGTTTTTGTGTTTGTTAACACAAGAACTGAGAGTTAGTAGGAAATGAAATTTTTTATACATCCTAATACCAGATCTTTATAAAATAAAGAAATTTCAAGATGTATGCAAGTTGTTTTTTTTTTTTTTTTACTGATTATTAATCCAGGATCAACTATTGGATTTCACATACAAAATCCTAAATTACCTTCCCAAGATTGCTTTATTTAAACTCATATTGGGAACACATTTTGCAACAATTTTTTTTTCCATGTTCAAACTTATGTTTGACTCTAAAATACGAGGATCTGACCAAAAAGTAATAAGTTTGGTGCTATAAAAAGGAAACTACAACACATCAATTTGGCATTTAATCTCCTTTGAAGTAGTCCTCTTTTGAAGCTAAACATTTTATCCAGCATGGTTTCCATTTATAGAAACATTCCTGGAACTTCTTTTTTGGGATAGCAATCAGCTGCCTTGTCACATTAAAATCTTTTTCCTTTCAAGTGGGATTTGAATTTTGAAGAGGAAACGTCACAATTAATAATAATTCATTTTTGTAGGGCGTATTTAAGCACATGTCCTCAGAATTTAAAAATATTTTTTTTTTTTGTTGCAGAAAATCACATTCTGAATGGTAAAATAAAAAATGTAATAAATTTAATACAAGGGAATATGGTGGTTGACCTGGGGAATGTTGTTCTTAGACAAAAATTACTGTGCAAGCTGATGGAACCTCTGCAGTGTGGTGAGACGACCACACTCTATACACTTTCCTTCAAAGCACTTCTATAAAAAAATGGAAGTGAGTAAGAACCGTTATAACTTAGTGTGCATGTGCATCAGAGTTCAAGATTACCCTGTGCCAAACCACTTCACACCGTGTACTTTAGCTCTGTTACCATAGCAACAGTTCTGATAATTTTTTATTCAACCTTGAATTTCCATTCATAATTAAAATAAGCTCAGACTTTAGGGAAACACTAGAAATATGTCAGTTATCTACTTCCTCTTCCCACTGGGATTAAATACGAGGGGTACTAAAAAAGACTTCTGTCAGAACCCTTTCTAAAAATCTGATAAAAAGATGTTTTTCGAAAATGCTGCTTGGTTAAGCCAAGAACTTTTCACCACCCTTAAAGTCATTAGATATCATTTAAGATGGTATTGTAATATATTTACCATAGCCAAAAAAGCAAAGACCAATTTTTTTTTTTACTTTCATTTTACAAAAGTCTTAGTAACAGAAGTTGAACTACATGTCAACTTTTCTTTTAAAAAAAAAAAAAAAAATAAATAAAACCAGTAAGGTTCACCCTGTACAAGGCCCGGGAGCCACTCGAGGTAGAGGGTTATGTTAAGAGGCAGTTTATCTGGATAGTAGGGGAAGATAACGGTTAAAATTATAGTGATCAGGGAGTCTGTTTAACAGAGCAGTGGTTTACAAGAAGAAACTGTTAGAGTGGAATTAAGTACCGATGGAATATGGGTGGTTTCCTACAATGTAAGTGGTATGGCAGGTCCCAGCCGTGAACGTTAGGTCTGATGGGATCAAGGGATTGTGCTCTGAATATGTTTAGGTAAAGTAACCTGAAAGGAGGCAATTCAGTGTTTGGCATAGAGAAATGGATGTAGTTTAGCGTTTGCTTCAATATTGATACTGACAAGAGAAGTAATACCAAAAATAGAAACGTAATTTTCATGTGAAAACTCAGCATTTTTCTCACAATTGTTACATTGTAGAACAGATTCTAAAAAAAAAAAAAAAAAAAAAGATGCTTCCTTGAACATCATCTCTCCAAGTCCAGGATCAGCTGCTGTTTAGTTTATTCTATGCACTTGTTACCTTCGTGTACATCAACAAATTCATTTTTAGCAACCCTGTACTTGATGGGCTTTAAAATACACATGTAATTAAATTATGTCTCAAAATTATAATTTAGTTTAGGTACATTGAAAGATTCGCTTAATTAATAAAAGAAAAAAAATTTAATACAAGGGAATTTTAGTATATTTTTTCTTTCACGGTGAAAAACACCTTGATTTAACGTCTACTGTACACGACATTATCACAAAAAATAAGATCCATCAGAAGTTCTTAATAAAGATTAATGTTTTAAATTTTAAGTTCTTTTTCGTGTAAAAGGTAAAAAAAGTGTTTTCGACAGTCGCTTCCCAAATTTGGGTCGAATATAATCTATCATAGAAAAAATTATTGTTGTTCAATTAAAAACAGGCATAAGATCCGAATTGACATTTGAGGTTGATTGGTCCGCTTTAAAAGGTTTTGAAGGGGGACGAACAAGTCAAGGGTCGACTTGACAATTACTTCAAAAATCAAAATAAATGAAAAATATATTTTTCAGTTCTTACAAATGTCGTGGCTTGAGGAAGGTAAATGCTATTTAAAAAAAAATATTTTCCCGGTATTTTACGAACAGGCCAGTCAACCTCAGAGAACCGTAAGTAAGTCGGATCACATTTCAGAGCGAATCATTCGAAGGTGGGCCCGACCTCAAACACGTTTGAGCCGAGAGCCTTACTAACATTTTTTTTTGTTTACTTATTTGTGTTTTAAGTTATGCAAAGCGTTATTTTATGATGTAAATTAAATAAAACCATGTTGTTCATCCCTCTTCAAATGTTTGTAAAAATGAGGGTTAGTTTTAGAAAGATAATCATGGAAAGAATGCGTGAGTTTGGCCTTTGGCGATTTTGTTTTTAAATGTGACTAGTTTTTAAGTTAAAAATTTAAAGAGTGATGACCAGCTTTTTTTCCCCCAGTCCCCATTTTCGGCCTTGTGTCACATTTTATGTATTTTTACATTACATGAATAAATCGAGCTGAGAGCCTTGCTTAGTAAGTCTGAGACCTTTCTAATGCAGAGACTCGAAAAGAAAAAAAAAAAACAACATAGAAGCGTGTTAGTTAAAATTCCTTGAAACCGGACCTTAAAAATACCCACACACACACAATCACAAAAGGAAAAAAAAAAAAAAGACATGGTCATTATTTGAGAAATTAAAAAAATTGTTGTTTTTTTTTTTTACTTACATGCGGTGTATTGTTTGAGAAAAAATTCCGCGAAGAGTCAAATAAAACAAAAAAAAAACCGTCCAAAAGAGAAAATGGTCTTTTCTTCCGATGGTCAGTGCTGGATCTTTCCTTAATTTGGTAAATAAATAACTTTTTTGTTTTTACTTAATCTGTTATTGCTGATCTAATTAACAAGAAAATCCTCTTGTAATAAATAACCCGATTAAGTCAAACAGGTCATGGATTTCCAAAACACACCCTTGAAAAGTTGAAATATTGTGGCTTTTTAAAGGTGATGACACAAGAAAAATATTTCCTTTTTGTTAATTTAGTAGAGAAACTCCAAGTCAAACGAAAAACTGGGCAAGGTACATCAGATGTACTAACAACTTTAAGAAGAATAAAAATTTAAATATTCAAATTGTACCTCTGAGGCTAAAGTGACAAATCATGTATTTTTTAATTAATACACTCAAAGTCAAAACAAAAGGAAAGATTAAAAAAAAATTACTATGCAGGTAGATGAGTAGTAGTAAGCTAGTGGTTGACAGTAGAGATGTTTTCTCTTTTTGGTTATGTGAGACAATTGTGAAACCTGACATAGACTTTTCTTCTTTTTTTTTAAGTAAACTAAACAGAAACTGTAAATGGATATTTTTACTTTTCTTTATCTCGTTATTCGTGGACTCTGGACTTATTGGTGTTTAAAAACTAGTTTTAGAAGTATGTGATTGTTGCTTTTTTAATTTCAATAAACAAATCAAATATGATGAGTAAGAAGAGACTATTATATCTTTTTTTTTTTTTACTTTTTAAATTTTGCTTCTTTTATTTTTTGTTTTGTTTGCATCACCAATCTTTCTGGGCATTTTTAAAAATTAAAAAAAGAAAT